AATTTATAACAATAAGCTTAAAATTAATGTCATATGATGAAATAAATATGTGTGTGAAGAGAATCGAGAGAAGTGAAAAGTATTATGCAAATAATATTAAATGCAATTTTATTGTAAGTTTGATTTGTTGTAATATTTATCGCTAACCTTTTATAATAGTTTAATTTTATCATAAATGATTGATTAGTAGGCTCATTTTTTTTATTGATAAGTTTTATACCTTAACAAATTTTAATTTACATCGTAATAATTTTAGTTCTATAAAGAAATTTTATATTCTCGATAAAATCATTGTGAAATATTAAAAGTTTTATAAGATATTAATGTAACATAAGTAAATCACTCCGACTTTCAAATTAGTATATTATTTTGTGAAGAAAATTTATTTTGTTAAAATTTAATTAAATGAATAAATTTTTTGATAATTATAAAAATTATAGATTAAATAGAAATTTAACTCATTAATGAATTAAGAATTTGATATGATCATTTGATGAGTTCATTTAAGTTCAAATCAATTAATCTAAAAACGATTAGATTAAATGAGCAAAAGTTTATGAAATCAAAATTTCAAAATTAGAAATTTACTTTTAAGATTTAGCCTAAATAGTTTTTAAGATTTTATTTGTGCAATAAGTGTGATATTTATGAATGACCGATCAATTATTATTTGTCGAAGAAATTAGACAAATCGGATCTTTCACCTTTAATGACTTTTAGTTGTTATATAAGAAAAGAAAATATATGCAACTGAGATTATGCAACGGAATTCATTCGGTACCAATTTCCCACAGATAATTCAATTTAAAAAAGATTTAATTCATCCTATTTTTAAGAAGTAAGCAAATTGTATAATATCTATAATTCTAATTTATACAAACTATAATTAAGATGAGTCATATGAGAAAGCGGTATAATATCTATAATTCTAATTTATACAAACTATAATTATAGATTTAATTTTTTCATAATTAAGATGAGTCATATGAGAAAACGGTATAATATCTATAATTCTAATTTATACAAACTATAATTATAGGTTTAATTTTTTTATAATTAAAATGAGTCATCTCTCCTCATATGAGAAAACGTAATCGAAAATTTTACCTTCTGTAATCTATTTTGTCATTTGTTGATTTCATTTCCTAGCTACCTCAATTTAATGTGATGTTTAGTCTCGGGATGTTTAGTCTCGAGAATAATACTGTAGCATTATTGCAATATCAATTTTTGTATTATCATATTCCACATAATATATTTTTATATTCAATAATTTCGAATGTTCAGCACCTCTCCATTTTTCTTTTTGATTACTTTATGACTCATTATCAATTTGTTAAATTTGATGAAATTTTATTGATAACTATTAAATTTCTTCTTTCATTCTCATTTTCTGAAATCTTAAACGGTAATTTTGATATTGATAAGAGTTTTTTTTAATTCATTTCTTTTCAGTAATCGAATTTTAGCTAAACTAATTAAGATTGTATTCTTGAGTAAATATTATATAAATATTATCATTACATTTTATTTACTCAGTTATAGTTAAACTTACTAAGATTTTAAATTAAGATTTTATTCTTGAGTAAATATTATATAAATATTATCATTACATTATATTTGCTTAATTATAATCCCGTTTTTAACTAACTTCATTTTATTAATTTTTGATTAACTGTATTTTATCTTTACTTCTACCATCGTCAGCATGTTTTCTACTAAATGAATGAATTGAGCGATCGATCAATCCTACAGATTCGAATATCCCATTCACCGGTCTAAAAATATATAAACAATAATATCGTAAAAAGTAACAATCAGATGTCGATAATAAGAAAGGACATTTGATATCGTTTGATAAACTAACTGATAATATGCACAAAAATGATGTTAAACGGCAATTGAAATTCTGTTTTAGGAGTTCGTTCAGTTCTACTTGTGACATATTTTAAAGTGAACTATTAAGTAATGTTATTGGAATGAGATGACAGTTGAATGGTGTAATTAGTTACCTTCATTTACCTGTTTTAAAGGGAACATTCTTTTCGTATTGGAGTTTTAATAGATGATTAATTCTTTTTTTTACCTCCTTAATTTCTATTAATAGCATAAATTTTTCTTTCAAAATGAAAATATGATCATAGTGAATGCTGTGAAACTTATATAGAAGGAAAAGGAAAAATGCTAATTCCTGAATGCATTAGCTCCCAAAATAAAATTTCAATTCCGGTTTGACGTTGTCAAACCAATATATGCTCAATTCCTAGCATATGATTTAGTTTGCATAACGTATAGCAAATGTCCTCTCCAATTACAAAATGCTATATTTTACAACGGAACGAATCATTTTCTTATTTGTCAGCTGTCTCACTATGACAAGTTGTATATTTGCTTTCTTTGAAGTTTGTCTTTTACATCGAACGATCCCTTTTTTTTGTACTAAATTTCATCGTTGTTTTTTTCTTCATTATTAAAAAAACAAAATGTTTTGTAATTGCAATTAAAACCCAAAAATATCGTTTATTCAACGAATCATTTTTGAGTTTAAGTAATGAATGCATCGAATCTAAATTGTCAAAAATATTTGGCATTGAAGTAAATGATAGATTTAATATAATTTTGGAAGATAAAGTTGTTGCTACTTTTAGGTTATTTACATTCGAGCATTATTTAAGTACCATTGATGTGGCATGAAGTTATTACCAGTGCCAGAAGAAGCATCTCTTCCTTACTCTACCAGTATTGTACGTTTGGTTTGATAACAGCGTGGTAGACATTGAATAAACTTTATCGGAAAAAGTTGACACGTGCTGAGCAATCACATCAAAAAAATGACCAAACGGCAGTGTAGTATAATAAGTGAATCATTCCCTTAGATCCAATAGGCAACAATTTGAATTGATACCTGCTGAAATAGGCAACTGTAAAGGATTGATCACGACTCATTCTTTATCGGAGCATAAATCGATTTCACTCATTTGGTCATGCAAAAGTATTATCAGGAAGATAATTCAATTAGAGTGTTTTGTTTGTGATCATTGTTATGATGATCATCTTTACCTCTCTTTCGTCCACTCATTCAATTGTCCAATTGTACTTACACATTTCAGCTGAAAATGGTTTCTTTGCTGTATGATTCATTACAGCAAAGCTGAAATTTGTTATTTAGATGATATGCATAAATTAAATCAAAGAATTTAATGCGATGTAAAGCAATAAATTATATCAGAATTATTGGAGTGATGTAAATGTGTAATGTATTATCATTTCTTACTCTGTCCATCAATTGAACACTATCACCTGTGTATACGTTAACCATTGATAACTGGCTCAATAGGTGGATAGCAATTTTTAACAATTGAACTATGGATTTGATGGCATTGCTAATTTCATACCTGTTCAATTCGAAAGCTAATCGATTTCTTTTGATTGGAATTGGAATCGATTAATTTGAAACCCTTTAATCATTCATACGAATCAACGATATACCGGTTAAACAAGGAAGAGATATGTAAAATTGAGCTAACATATTTCGTTTAAATAATCAATTGTGTAATTTTAAGACTTCTAATAATAACAATAAAGGCTCTCAAAATTTATTGATAATATCCTTGAAATGTTGAATAATTAGCAATACTGTTGTAATTACCGTATTCAATCTTTTATTATTGCAGTTACAATACAAAGGTATACACGATATCCTTTTGAATTTCAATAAAGTCGAATTCAGGCAAATTAAATCACTTTATAAGTCTGCTTATGAATCAATCGAAGTTTTAAAAAAAAAAGTGAACTTGCTGGTATAAACGTTTTACGATGAAAATAGTATCCATTTCTAATTTTTTAAAAGATTGTTAATTTTAGATTTAATGGGAACCGAAGGTATATGGAATACATATGGCCTAAATCAGGTTGCTTTTTTAAATATCAATCTCGGTGATTTGTTCAATTAAAATAATTAAAAAGATACATTCAGTTTGAATTGGAATAATTTGCAATTAATGAATTAAGAAAAAAAAATCAATTATTTCAAATTTAGGAGTTTTTATAATCAATTTTCTTATAAAATTGATAATAAATTGATAATTGATGATAAATTGATAATTGATAATAAATTAATAAAATTAATTGATTTTTAAATTAAAAATGAATTAATAATAAATTAATAAAAATGATAATAAAATTGGTAATAAATTATCTCAATTTGTTATCAATTTTATAAGACAATTGTTATGGAAACTGATAATGTTAAATTTTATCATTTCAGAAATTTTGATAATTATTTTTATAAAATTTCTAAATATAAAGCATTTTAATTTGATATCATTTTAAGGAAGAATATGATCGAAAATTTCAATACAGATCAAAATCTACGATAAAGGAACGGTTGAAGTAAATACTTACATGCTGTTTCAATATCTGATACACGAATATTTTCCTGGTAGCGCTAATTTTCTTTCGGTAAGAATGAGAAAGAAAGAGAAAGAGAAAGAGAAAGAGAGAGAAAGGAAAAGAGAGAGAGAGAGAGAGGGAGGGAGAGATCTTATGTTAGACGAATTGTTCTCTGTTCCCATTACAAAAAAAGATTTTGATATCGTTATCATTTCAAAAACATGAGATCATTAATCTTATTATCCGGAAAATGAAATTTCAATAAATTAATACATATCCAGAAAATGGGATTATTAGTCTTATCATCCGGAAAATGGAATTTCATTGGAATGTAGAAATTAGTCTTAGAAAGTTTAACTAACGTAAAACATACAAATAAATTCAGTAAGCTTATTGCAAATTTAAAATTATTAATTTATGGTAATTAATTTTGTATGTTTTTTTTCCTCTCATCTCTCACAGTGTCTCTATTCTAATGTTTTTTTCTTTGCTACAACACTTTTCATAAATTTTAAAGTTATTTTTACATGCAAAATTTTCTTCAGTTTTGAAATTACTTAATTTAATTATAAAATAAATAATAGATTATGCAGTACTTTAGAAGAGAAATGCAATTGGTGTATGATTGTCTTTAGAAGAAATTCAAATTGCATTATCTGATTGATGTAAATGTATGCATGAAAGTTGTAATTGCAACTATTTCCTGCACCTGTTTTTTTCTCCTTCCTTCTTCCTATTAACAGTTTTCAGGAAAAGAATATATCAGTTATTGATACCATGTTCAAGTCCGATCAATCTATGGCGATGGTTCACGAATTTTTTACCAATTTTACAATGGTTACCAAGATATAACTGGAAAACTGATGCAATTCATGATATCGTCGGTGGTTTAACACTTGGTGTCATGCATGTACCTCAAGGTTTATTACTGTTGTTGTTAATACTTCAACAATTGCATCAGTAACATTTGTATACATTAAAATTCAATTTGAATTTATTACAGTTAAATTTAAAAAAATGTTGCATATTTTCATTCATCAATGATAATGTTATTCTAGTTTCATTTGAAAAATCATTAATGAATTTTCCAGGTATAGCATATGCACGATTAGCAGGTGTTGATCCAGTATATGGATTATATGTGTCCCTTTTTCCAGCCTTTTTCTATATGTTTTTTGGTACATCAAAACATGCATCTGTTGGTAATAATTTTTATTTTTTGTAATTTATGCAAAATCAAAATTAGTAATGGATATTTGGGTGACTACCATTTGACATTAACAAAGTTATTTGCTAAATAATTTTCATCATCTAACTAAAATTGATCTATAAATTAATAGTTGATGAAAATGATAAGTAACATCATCCCAATTATATCCTAATAATGAAGAATGTTATTATAGGATCATTTTCTGTAACAGCTATAATGTGTGGATTGGCAAGTGATGAAATAATGCTACAGCAATCAGGAATGGATGATACGGCTGTTAGAAGTAATAATACAATACCTTCAATTACCTACATAGAAATAACTACAGCACTTGCCTTTACTACGGGCATTATTGAGGTATTCATTTCATTTTTTTCATTACTTTTCTTTGCCACTGATTAGGCAATCATTTACTCTGACTTACTTATTATTTTCGTTTAAATTATCACTCTACGATCCATGTCTATCTTAATGATATAATTACGCAGCAATTGACCATAATGTGGCAACAGTTATATAAGCATAAAAGAAGATATAGCACTTCTTTGGTTAATATCACTGAAGTTTATCATAAATTCGTTTTCAATATATTTTGCCAAATTTCGTAAAAATTACTTCGATTTTTATAGAATTCTTCATCATCATTTCACATAGCATAATAGAATTTTGTTTCAGTTGATTGCAGGTGTTCTACAACTCGAATTTGTCACTGCTTATTTCTCAGATCAGTTGGTTTCCGGTTTCATTACCGGTTCTTCTGTACATGTAGTTATTGCTCAGATGGATGATTTTTTCGGAATTAATTCACCAAAATTCCATGGAATCGGATATCTTTTCAAGGTAATTAAGTATCTATGAAAGACATCTTCTTAAAAAACGTTTTATTGAAAATTTAGAATTATTCTTGCAGAAAATTGTGTATTGCATTTCTTCAACCTGTCAACTTGAAATTGCTTACCTCTAACTCTTAACTGCTAAATATGTTAAAGAACAGTTCCGCTAAAAGTAATTCATTCTAGTCTAAGCTATCTCTGAAATTTTGCTACCCATTTAATTAATTGAATAAATTTATCAGTTAAATTTATTCTAGACATATTATTGATTAATGATTGTTAATATTTTCACAAAAATAACAACTGGAATAATTTTTTTTCTAGAGAATTTATAGTATTCTAACACATATTTCATATACAAACTTCTATGCAATGGGAATGTCAATTTTCGGTTCAATTTTTCTTTATTTTGGCAAAAGTTTTTTGACACCATTTTTGCATAAATGCTTATCGTTTAATATCCCCGTACCTTATGAACTATTTTTGGTAAGTTCATTTATTCACTTACTACAATTTTTATTATTTAATTTTTAAATGCTATGAAAATATACTAAAACAAAAATTATTCGGATTGATCTAATTAAGTTGAATTACTGGATATAATTTGTAATCTGAATATTACAGATAATAATATCAATTATTGTCTCATATATGATGAATTTAAATATATATCATAATGTATCGATTGTTGGTCGAATTCCTACAGCGTAAGCCGATTTCATGAATTATTTACTTGAAAATCTTGAAATCCTTAAAATAACCATCAAACATTGCAAAAGTTATCATTCAAGGTAAATAATAGTCTATTATATTTCTTTCTTATGTTTAAGCTATTTAAACTTTAGTTTACTATTTGCTTGTTAATTATTTCTTGTATTTAGTTTACCCAGGCCTCGATTACCTCGTTTCGATGTTGTTATTGATTGTTTTCCATATGCTATCGGTATTGCCGCCGTTTCTGTTGCTGTTCATATATCGATGGCTAAGATGTTAGCTAAGCGAATGAAATATCATGTTGATTCTAAGCAGGTTTAATAGCAGAAAAACTTGATGCTTAAGAATTTTCATAAGTCATATCTTCTAACTTATGTATTAGTTGTCGTGTTTCCTTAATCCTTTAAGTTTGGTCGAAATGTAATCAAAGTTTTACTTTAATAATTTAAATTAAACGTTTTTTAGGAGCTATATGCATTAGGTTTCACAACAGTTCTTAGTAGTTTCTTTCCCATTTATCCAATAGCTACAGCTCTTGCTCGAACAATGGTCAGCGTTGAAGTTCAAACGAAAAGTCAGGTTAGCATTTTAACCCTTAAGACCTATTAAAACGAAAAATATGTCCTAGTTCTTGGTGTTGCAATTTCGAGAGTTGCAATTGTCTATTATTGTGAATTATTCCTGAATATAATTACTTCTTCTTTATTAAGAGTAGTTGGTCGAGTTATCGCAATATCATTAGTTTCAAATTCGGAAAAAAGTTTACTTAGAATAAGTGATTATATTCAGGTTATGCCGATATTCGTAATCAGTAAGAATGTCAGTGAGATTGATTATAATAGTGATTCTAGTTGATGATTTATTGTAGGAAAGAGAAAATTAAAGATTAGCCAGATAATAGTTGATAATTTTTTAAATGGACATTTTTTGTGCAATCGAGATGATATGATATCATTTTCATCTGCTGAATCAGTTTCTGGTTTCTGACTTCTAACAATTTTCTAATTTTATCCTTAGATATGTCAAGGATTCTTAGCTCAAAAAAATGCGACACTTTGAGGATTTATCAATAAATCACCACTGATCAGTGTAATGGATTATATAAATGATTATCTTTCCAGTTTTCTGCCGTATCGAGTTGTTTATTGTTGTTAGCGGTCATCCTAATGCTTGGACCACTACTGAATGCATTGCCAATGGTTCGATATTTTGTATCAATTCATCCATGAACTTTGAAAAATTAAAAATGAAGTGGAAAATTTGAATTTAAGTTATAAGAAATGAGCTTCCGACATATTGCAGTGTATATTGGCTGTTATTATTGTGATGTCTCTTCGTTCGATGCTTCAAAAATTTTCCGAGTTGCCAAAAATTTGGCCTGTTTCTAAAATCGATTTTGTATGTTTCATTAATGTAGTAATTTAGTCTTTACAAAGGATAAGTGTTAGTTTAATTGTAATTATCAGACTTAGACGTTTCAAATTCAATGATAATTCGTTGAGGCACAAATTCATTAGTGCTTTAACTCTCATTTCTAGTTTTATTGATAATAAGTAATATGATGCTTGGCATTGGGCGAGCCATATCTTTTATGCTGAAAAATTTTGATCAATTAACATTAAATTAATTGAATAATTTGCAGCTAATTTGGATTGTAGCATTTGTGACAACTGTAGCATTGGACGTTATGACTGGTTTGGTAATTTCAGTCCTCTTCGCTTTAATGACACTCATTTTTCGATCACAATGGTTAGAATCACTAAGAATCATTGTTATATCCGTTATTTTCAAATTATACTACATATTGACTATACTTTAGATAATTAAAAACTACTAAATATTCGTCCATCATGTAAAAAAAGAATATTCAGGAGACTGGAATTCATTAGATATGGCAGTAATATATTCGATAGGGTTAATATATGCTTTTGGAATTGCACGAATAAGAATACATAGATCGAATAATCGTAATATACGAAAAGCCAGAAGCTATCATCGAATGTTACAGGCCACGTTGGGAAAGATTAGTGCAACTGTCAGTATCTCAACCATATTTCGATAATCCAAAACGTTATGTTGCGGCAGCGAACAATCCCAATATTCGCTTGTATCGTTTTGAATCACCGCTGCTATTCAACAATGCGGAACGTTTCAAGTTAAGCATTTGTAATGCGATAAGCGATTGGAAAAATAAAACTGACTCAATTGTAAGGATTGTTTTAAAAAATTTGTTCTTATAAAAAAATTACAAGAGAAATTAATTTAATGTTCTATATGTTAAATATAGAAGGATTGGCTTCGGCTGATAGTTTGAGGATAATAAACCACTTCTTTCATATTCACCTTTGGAACTTGAATTTGGAATTCGTAGCTATATAGGTATGAATTAAGTAGATAGGTTGTTTTGAAAATGCACAAAAAACTGTGCAACTTAAGTTTTCGAAATTCTTTTGGGAAATCGGCGAAATTTTTCTGAAAAAATGTCATTGCAAAAACAATTGAAAAATTTATGTTCGCAGAATTTTCTGCTAAATATCTATGCTAACATTACTTTCATGGTTGTATTCAATAATCTTTCACGGTTGTATTTAATAGCCGTAGCAATATTACAAATATCGAACTTTACAAGAAGAATTTCCACATTACATTTATTTTGAACTATTTGTTAAAGACTATTTGTAGTGAATTTTTAATCACAATTTCTAATTATTATATTACGATTTGCTACTTTTTTTTTCGCATTTACAGGATGATTCGTTAAATCCGGATAATTTGAAAAGTTTAAATCAACGTTATCTTATTATTGATTGTTCGGGCATATCTTATATTGATTGCATGGGATTAAATATTCTAAAAGAGGTTAATTTCAAATCGCTGCAACCAAATTGATTGAAATATTTTCGGCATCTAAGAATTCTTATCTCAACGATGTTATATTATCTATTGGAATAGTTAAATAGTTCTATGAATTAACCTATAGGTGCATCTGCGGGGTGATTTTATCAAAGCATTTTTATCAGTGCATTTTTAAACTATCATTACATCACTATCAATGACGCAGTAAATGTTTGATGGATTCAAAAGCTCTTTTTTGAAGTTCTCAACGATCTGTGATAAGAAAGTCCTCTTGCAATGATAAAATCAAACAATCCATGTGAGATGAAATTGCTCTTGTAGTGATTGATTGAATAGCTACTGAAAAAAATTGTAATTGAAAAAATTCCCATATTTAAGTTCTCCAATGATATAACCATTTCTGATTTTCAAATTTTAGATCGCTAGTGAACTAAAAAGTCAAAAAATTACCATACATTTTGGTGCTTGCAACAGTAAGTTTTTTTTTTTTAAATATAATATCAAGTTTAATTAATTAATTCTAGCAATGTGAAAATTTAATCCATTTCATTTGAATTATCCATCAAATTATTTTGCTTAATTTATCCGTTTATAATCTCTGAAATACTCGTAGTATTTTCTCGCTTCCTTGATTACTGTTAACTAGTGCTATTTTCACTCTTAAATGAAATGATTCAGGTCGACTTTTTGATTTCCCCGGAAAAAGTTATAATCTCTCTTGCATCAAAATGTTTTTTTGAGTTTGTTAGTGCACGTTGAAAAAAATTTAGGATAAAAAAATGGCAAAAGTTTTGTTATCGGAAATGATTGATTTAACTGAACATATTATTACATCAATTTAACATGACAGTGTGATACTTTCCAGCTAGTGTTCGCGATTCTCTGGAAATAGCGAAAATTTTTAAAACTATTCCCAAGCATTGCTTTTTTCCAACAGTGGATGATGCTATCGCAGTAATAAGTCATCTTGAGTATCTTTTCCGTTCTTATTTTCTTAATCTTGCATTTCTTTTTTCTTAAAAAGAAAAAGATAACATTTGAACTCAATGATATCTCTTGTAATAATATTTTAAATTATGATATTTCCAGGGGATCAGATCGAAATGATGTTTCTGCTGCAGAATTGAATCATGATAATAAGATTATGCAACTACAAATTGGTTCCGATATAATAGCAGTTCCTGATGCTTGTAATTTACCACCAAATTTTGAATCATCTTCCTAGTATTATAATTAACAATAAATGATAGATGAAAATATCAAAATTTTCAAATTCCTAATTAATATAAGCGTAAAATGAGAAGTGACGATTTTCTTCAATGATTCTCGGATGGGTTTTATTCGTCATGTAAATTCTTCTTATCCAAATAATTTCTTCTTTTAGTAAGCAAAATATACGAATAATTATCTTTAAGTTTTCTTAACTTTAATTTGTTTAACATCAAATATCCCGTAAAATGGAATCATATCATAATTTGATAATGATGATGATATGAGAGAACACTTTATGATATCTTATAAATTATTAATTAGTGCTTTATGAATCATATATTACCTGTAAGAGATAGCATATGGCCAAGAAATGTCTCCATCCAACTATCAATGTCACAAACTTCGACTATGTCATATATTTAACTTGAAAAATCTTATTATGCCATTAGCTGCTATAATCATTGTTTCTTTCTGCTCAGTTAAAGTTTCCAATGCTGCAATGAATCACTTATTGACGAATCCAAAAATTATATTAAATTAACAAATACAATCATTTGTGCTATTTTATCTGTTTATAATTTATACTTGCAAAGTGCAAAAGTTGAAATTTTCAAAAATATTTATTTGTTAAATGGATGTCTCTATCTTTCCCTCATTTCATTCTATTGTTTATCTTAATTGAGAAAAAATTTAAGGTTTTCAAATTTGACATTTTCCTGAATTATAATGGAATAAATATGGAGACAGAAATAGCTCTCCTTTTATTAATCATGCAATGTTAATTTCATGTCTTGAACGTCCGATAACTATCCGAAATTAATTAGTAAGAAATTAAAATCGTTATCGCACATTTATGCGAGTGATTTTGTCCTTCCTTCTGCTCACCTCTTCTCAACCTTTCCGCTCACATTTACATAAAGCAGACATATATGGTGGTAGTAACAAACAACAACTTCGACACAATACAGGGATTAGTAAGGGGATTAATTGCTATGAAAAGGTTGAATTATCTAGTTTGTTCACTATCCGTATATCAGTAAGATGAAGAAATATATTTTAATTAATCATCCATCATACCAGAATAAAATATTTTCCCCTCATACTCTCTATTATAAATATATGTAGTATAATTCACGCGATAATTAATAATTTTAGAGCAATATTATATCATATAAATCACATTTTGAATGAGTTATTTCCAATATTCGATAGATGGATTGTGAATAACACCAAGTAAATTACAAATTGAATTGATACCTATCGAATTAACCATATAGGTTAAGATCCATTTTTAGTACAAATCGATTTAAATTTAATTTAATCGTTTAATAATGAATTGTTAGGAAGATAATTGAACTGAGAGAAATGCATGCAATCACTGTTATATCACCTTTGCCCTATTACTCACTTCGTTTAATTGTTCGTGATTTTCACATTTGAACGGAAGATGATGATGGCTTCTTTATTTTATGATTCACTTTTTGCTGTAACATACCTTTACAATTTGATGATATTCAATGATTGAACAGAAAATTTGAGTAAAGTTAGTGAAAAAAATTACATCGAATGAACAATCTGTTTTGCTAGCCAGTAAATAACTGATCAGTTGTGCTATAAGGATTTAAGTGGTTGGAATCTCGCAAGCATTGTTAAATTTAATCACTACATTTGCATTATATACCTTCGAGGGAAGATATATTATATTTTCTTGTCTTCTATGGTTATGATAATTATGTATTATAAACAGGTGACGAGGCAAACAATTACGACGGAGATTATTATAAATCCAAAAATTTTTTGAAGTGACTTAAAACCAGAATAGGACATAAGCATAGGTAAAGCTTTGTTAAAAACAAAAAAATATCAATATGTATCATATTGACGTTGTAATTCCTTTCGTTGAAACAATTTTTTACAAATTTTAATTGAACTTAAGATCGTTGGAGAGATCTTTGTCAAGTTTAATTAATCAAATTTGAGAATTTAATTAGTTGTTCCTCGACAAGTTTAATTAATTATTCTCCGTTGAACACGACATGAAATATTGATAGAATGTTGTAGCTTGGTGGATAAATGCATTATCTATTATAGCATAGAAATAGCAAAAGTCAAATTAATGGGAAAATGCTGCGCGAATGTTTTCAATAGATTGAAAAGACACTATTGGCTAATTTAATCTCAATGATCCAGACCTACTGGAAATCTAACTAATCGAAAAAGATAAGTTAGGTAGATAGATGATTTAGTAGGAAAAGATAAGTTAGGTAGATAGATGATTTAGGATTTAGTAGGAAAAGATAATTGACAATTCGTATCAATAGCATAGATTTTCTCGACCAGTAATAATACATAATCATTCTGGTAACAATGTATGATGATTCTGATAATAATACATAACAATTCTGATGATAAAAGTTACTACGATAATTGATCATGATTCTAGCGATAGCACATAACAATCCTCATGATAATGATAATAATAATGATTCTAACAGCAAAAGAAAAGTGGACAAATGTATTAGCAGAAAGCAGAAGATTATATACTTCTGACACTCAACGATATACTCTATTACGCTTTTCGTTGCATGAAAATTCCTATGCAAAAAAATTTCCTGCAAAGTTTGCTTTTGCAATAAATATATCATCATCATCATCATCATAAAATCAGTGGTTTTATTGGATGTGTAATGAAAAAGGAGTGAAGAGAAGAGATGAGAAAGATAAAAGTTAGAAAAAGAAGAAATGCTCAAAATACATCGAAACCCAAATTAACTAATCACCTCTTCGAAAAACTCTCACTCTCATAGAATTTGAAAGCATTTAGTTTTTGTTTAAAATTATCACAATCATTATTACCATTATCATTATCATTATCATTATCATCATTTACAATCGCTGCAATTATTATCATATATTGCAACATATTCTTCCTTCCTTCCTTCATTCATTCATTCATTCTTTTCTTTCTTTCCTTCTTCCTTTTACCAATCAACTATTCATACATATCATTTATCATTAGTTTATTGCCTCAACAGGAGGAGAGAGAAAGATGAAGAAGAGAAGAAAGCAGCCAAATACTTCATTATCATTTAATCTTTTAAGAACCAAAGTTAGATGATATCGTTAGACTAGCGGCTAAATAGAACATACACTATCATCATCACATCACAACTATCGACAACTCTTCATTATCTATCTCTTCATCTTATTTCATTTTGTTAAATTTCACACTTATTATTTCTTTATTTTTATTTTTATTAAATTGCTTAATTGAGGAATATTATAGGTAAAATAAAGGTATAAAGCATCTATCAGTTTAACATAAATATATATACACACGCATACACACATACACACATACACACATACATACACACACACACACACATACAGATATTAATAATAATGAGATAGACAGTATACAAACATTAAGATAGATTAACAAATACCGATCGGATAGACAGGTTTCAATTGATTTTCGCCAAATATTAGCCATTGTCGCCGTCATTGTTACTAACTTCATACCTTAGAAATTGCTATTTCTTTATTTCATTCTTCTTTCTTATCTATCTCTCTCTCTCTTTCTTTCCTTATCTATTTCTGTGTATATGTGTATTTGTATGTATGTGTGTGTATGTGTATGTGTGTGTGTGTATGTTGTGTATACTTACACAACATACACACACACATACACATACTAATGTGCATATATATATGCTAAGTATGTGTATGTTGTGTATACTTACATGTACTTGTCATATATATATATATATATATATATATATATATACATTAGCATAGTTGAC